GGGGCTGAAAACCATGTTGACTGAGTCGTATTCGATCACTTCATGCTTTGGAAAATATTTTGAGGAATACAGAGGTAAGCATCTCAGCGACACAATAAATAAGCCTGAGTCTCCGATAAATTTTGCATACTGTTTTATCACCCTTCTTGGAAATGGGAAGTAAAATGGAGATTCCTCAGTCAAGAGGAAGGAACTTCCCCTCCCAAATGGAGCATGCGTAGGAATAGGAGGAAAACTGGGAGACCGTACGCACACATCTCATTGGGACTGCCATCATCTACTGCAGTTCTCATTTCTTGAGGTGATTCACCTCCGACCAAAAAACTGTTTGAATGGGAGGTTGACAGTCAATGCTGCAAGGCTCCGGTCTTTTGTGTGACGACCAAGTGGTTTCTGAATTTGGCTAAAGTGGTTCACCCATGGTTCGTTTTTATCCGAGTGACTTACTATAGGCTCTGTGTTTGTGCTACGCGAAAGTGAGATTCACACGTAGGCCTCGCTAAGTAGGAAGATAATCTTGGGAAACCAAAAACTTTCGAAGCCTTTCCTATATTTGCAGCTATATTCGACGAGCATGAAATACGGTTGCCTCTAGCAGACATGATGCCTTCATGCTGAGGAGTTTGGTAGTCAGGAGACTTTGATGGGTGTCTGTAGGGCAACTCGTAACCAAGACACTTCTTTGGGGGCTTTTTTGATAGGTGTCCTAAATACGGACCACTGATCACCCACTGAGACCAACAGATTTTCGGGGTTCCAGGGAGTAGGCTGTCACTTGCTTTGGTGTGCTTGTAAATTGGTCGAGTAAGCCTCTTCTCAGCCATTTTGGGGGGCGTTCATGCACCTCAAGGGTCATTTTTGTCCCATAGCAAACTTGAACTTCATTTGTACGAGGGTTTCATCCGAATCTCCTGTGTGACTCACTTCAGCTCCCCGATACTAGCGACACTCTTCTAAAGCTGAAGCCTGTTTTCAGAACGTAGTCAGTTATAAATATGTTCATCAGTTGAAACATCGTGTTGGCTCCTGCCGTTTTAGGTGTTGGAAACATACTGGTGACGACGGATGACATTTCTGTCACCTTTCTTACGTCCTTGTTCTAGACGTAACTGGCCACGGATATGGCTGATGGAACCATACATTTGGCCTACACCAGGATTTAATCCGCCTTCGATCGACACCCGTTCATCTTCACGGAACATAGCCAATAGAACCTCCTCAGGAGAGGCCACATAGTGTTATGTCTCTTGGAAGCAATACGTGGGTATCAAGAGATGACTTTACTTGTTTCCAAAGACAGCTAAGCAATACTGGGGAGAGGTATAAAACCTTACCCCTTAAAATATGTCGTTTTAAGTCACTGTGCTTACAGAAGAATGAAGAGATAACTTAAACAAATAACACATTTTAATGGTTCTGATATGCTAGGTCGTTGTGATGATCCTACTATGAATTCCAATCAGCAACAGACTGTTGATTGATATGTTTTTTTCTACTCAGGTGTCATTCAGTAATCGAAACCAGTCTACGCTGAAAGACTAAGAAGCGCTGTACAGCTGTCTAATATCACGTAGGCGTTGTCAATATATTCGGGCTACACGTCACTTGTATAACAAAATTTACAAAGCATTCTAGACTCACGTGATTGGCACAGATTGATGGCACTGATGGTACACAGGTTGCTTGTTCTCATTGTGAGCTGCTTCTAAGCAGCAATTGCAGACAAGTGATGACGTCTGTTTCTGAGTAATATATCAGCCTATGGAAGTGTTTTGAACAGCATTAACATGGATCGCACATGGTAGACACACAGCAGTTGATAAATCTGCTACTGAAGTACCCATCGTACAAACAAATACCGGTTTTCTAATTACCCCACTGCGAGTCCGTTGACGCCATCGAACACAAGCAAGACTTTTGAGACATAAGTGTTCAAGCACCTGAAGACACCGTACATCATATTTCCGCAGAGACCATGCCTCACAAAAATACAGCCCCTACTATAGCCGAGTACAGCTGACCCTTGAGAACCAGTGATATGCTCTTTTAAACGTCAAAAGTGACACAGACGGGCAAACATGAATAGGCTCAAAGCGCATACCAAAAATAGTACATCGGTGGCTGGTGCATGCAACAACACCTCGTAAGGAAATGTGCGAACGCAGTCCCAAATACTACTGACAGCGTACACACAGTGTTTTGGTCCAGAATGATAATTCCAGCTCCGCTCGTTTATCAGGGTCATGGACAAAGGTTGTATGTAAAATCAAGTTGTGAAATAGTATGTTTCACAACAATTCTCAGTATTCAGCTAAGGTATTTCGAAGGAATGTATTCTATTATATATAATATTTGCAGGTCATAGAATTGGCTTGCTCCATTATATATAAGAAGAACCTGAAATTACGAGAATTATATCAACAAATGTTTCAATACTTGAGAATAGGTATTCAGTTGTGGCGTCACTTTATTCTTCTAATATGTTAGTTTGTCATGAGTTAGACTTTCCGGGTTCCTCGTTATTATTTCGTGTTCATGTTTGGGATGATTTAACAATGACGGTAACTACATACTACCCACAAATTCAGAGCTGATACTATCATTCGATTGCTAGACCACTAACGCAAATCGTCAGGTAACATCGAAATCGTTTCTTAGATCCTCTAGTAGTGAACTCGATGGACCCTTTCGCGAACGAATTATGTGCGGGATGTTTATGTCATTCATAATGTATTCACTCCTTTGTCTTGGACTTTCACCAGACTTCAGTTCACTTTCTATTGTACCTGCCGATGCCCTTTCCACTACCAGCGATGGAAGTACCAAGCCACTTAAATGATCCGTGAAATTCCCAGGACACTTTGAATGCGCACCCGGATGTCGACCTCCACTGGATTGTTCCTGCAGTCGGCTCATTTGATCCAAAAAAGTTTTATCCGAAGAAGAACCTAGCTCAACTGACTTGGTCTGGACTGCGATTCTCGATTTATGACTGAAACACCAGGTTTCTTATTACCTCCGAATTGGTCATTCAGGGGTCACTCAAAAAAGTATTATGATGTATCGCGATGCTTTACCTGGACTGCGATTCTCGATTTACGACTGAAACACCAGGTTTTCATTACTTCCGAATTGGTCATTCATAAAAGTATTATGATGTATCGCGATGCTTTAGGGTAAGTGTTCGAGGTTGTCAATTATTGATAAGTGACTTAAAGCTATTCACTGCACAGAGTGATGATTAGAGGTGCCCCAAGCCTGACGTTTCAGTCAGCTTGTCTGTGTACCTTTAAAAGAGGCCAGCCATCACTGCAAACCCAAGTTTCATCAAAAGAAATTTCATCATTATAATATGACTAATTTCGAATTCAGTGACTTGTGATAGACTCTCAATTCTAAGGCCACTTATGACCTCGAAAATGTCCGAGTCTTCTCTTGACTGCCGCGGCTCTTTATTGTGACATTTCATAAAGCGTCAAAAGAACACGTGCAAAACACGACAACCACCACGGAAAACACGACAAATCAGTGAGACTCGTAGGTCATCAGCTGCCGTGACGCACGAGATAAAGTTTGCTGAAGTTAGTCCTAAATTTTAACTACAGAAATACGCCTTCAATTCACATACACCTGTTCATCTGTTAAAATTGAAATGGTTCATTCTGAGCATCTCTCACATTTGTGATCGTATGATATTGTTGGTATTTTGCTAATAGGTTAAGAAAAGATTGGTACTTTTCGAGACTGAGCCAGCTATCCACTTCACGTCCCATGCAATCTTTCGGTTCAACAAAGGAAATTTCGGTATATTTGTTAAACGTTATAATGAAGTAAAGATGAGGGATTTATTGGCATCTGAACTGCAGACACATCGATCTTGTTACATGCTGTATGTACGGCATGGAATACAAACATGTTGAGAATCCGCTTCTATCCGCTTGTATTATGTCAGTGAATAAATTATATGAATAAATTATATGAATAAATTATATGAATAAGTTCTCAAATCCTCATGTGCCCGAATCCTTATTTTGGTGCTGTGCAGAAAGCACCAAACTCGCTCACTCCCTCGTGGCACAAACGTTTGATTATCTGACGTGTGAGATAAACTCACATTGGCTCCCCTGGATGAGATACAATGGGGATGTACTGCGAGTTTAATTGAATTTATGAACCGAACTTTGTTTCGGTGATTTTGGGTTGGCCAATGCTGACTTAACAATCTGTGCTATTTCCTACCATCTGTGAACTAATGGGATCGTTATGTGGGTACTAAAGTGCTGCTTGGCAAACATCAATATATCGGGTAGAAGAGTTATAGACCGCACCGGTATTTTAGCGGAGTTAAAAATGGCTTGGGAAAAGCAGCAAATTTTGTGGGTTTGTTGGCTGAAAGTGAATCCACATCCTTCAGAGAGATATGGTTGAACTTGCCTGCAGTTCGACTGGCGGTCTTTCGCGAATAATGCCAGCTACAATCACGGTACGACGAGTACGCGGTCGTTACAGCTGACAATGATGATGANGATGATGATGATGATGATGATGATGATGAATAATGGCTGGGCTATTGAAAGAGTTTTCTAGGTAACTTCAAGTAAAGTGACTACGTTCATGAACCATGCGCACAAAACGAGATCAGTGAGAACGTATGGCTGAGGTTGAGTTTGAACCGTTGGTCTGAAAATTGGGCAGCTGGGTTGTTCCTTATCCATTCGATGAAAACACAATCAGGACTTGCTGCTTCTGCTTGAAAAAATCTAAGGCCACAGCTAGAAATTCAACGTAAGGGTCGTGAAAGTGGTGGACAATTAATTATTGACTGATGGCCGAATTCCTATCGGATTTCGTTGGATAGGCCGAGCACAGCAAGCCGAATGAACTTTTTCACTCCTATAAGAAATCATCTTTCTGGGTGAGTTGCTGAATGCAGCAAATACTTATTCATCGAACCACGAAATTGAGTGAAAGACACAAATACTCGCCAAGACGAAAAATCGTTTCGACGGAACTGGCGAAATATATTGTCGGCCAGTCTTAAAGCAAATGTTCAGCAATAAATTAATGGATGACAATTGATGGCAGATAGTAACGTGCACCAAACACAGCTGTTTGTGCTGTTGTCTTCTTCTGCCCCTGGTTTGTTTTCGGTGGAGTAATGTCATTTCCGAGTGATTTAATATGCATGGTTTGCAGAAAACAAAGACTGTCCTCCAGCTGCCGTCTGGAGATTTCCTTCGTATTTTCCCAAAGCAGCTGCACCATTGGCCTGTGATAAAATACAAGGAGAAAAGAAACTAGAAACTGAGCCCATTTCCGCTAAACGTGTGCAGTTGGTGGGAAAAAGTATTCAAACCAGCTTATTCTCTAGTTAGTACAGTTACATGAACTGGTTGAATACGACTAGGGTAAACCACGGTGAGACTATCTTAATAGATTGATTTGATTGTTCTGGTCACCAAAGGATAATTGGTCGTATCACTCACAAAGGGTGCCAAAATGGATCTTATTATGACCTGATCTGAAGCTTAAACACCGAAACATTTCAGTATCTGGGCCGAGCTAGTTTATGAATAATGTCTGAACATGTGGCAAAGTTTTTTGCTTCCCACAGATTTTATCCGGAAAGGGAGACTAAAACATAACTATCTGCACTACGAAGCAGATGAAAACGCTATCGATACAAACGAGCATACACCAAGGATGAGCCTACCAGGGAAGTTAAGCCATGACGCGTAAACTGTTGAAATGGAATTAAATAAATAAAGCAATAATCAAATAAAAGCAAAACACAATAAATTGCTCGTAAACTTCTCATCAAAAGACGTATATGTAATGGACGTGTCTGTTTGTAACTTATTTTATTTAAAGTAAGCAAGTAGTTTTCTTGGCAGAACATACTACTAATGGGGTTGCTGAAAACGCTTCGAAAGCCCATAACTAGTTTCACCGTTTATAGGGCTCGAAGGCAAATTCTTCTAGTTTCTGTCAAATTGATGTTAACTGATCAATTCAACCGCGCACTGACGAGGCATTCTTGATTGCTGACGAGACGCTAGCAACCTAAATAGCAGGCTTGGTGAACAGACCAAAAATCACCCAATCAGGCACCAAAAATTTACTACTTTTTTCGATCTTCCTACTGGAACATGGTGGACAAATATTAAGATTTGTCCAACACATTAGCGGCGAAACTTTCACTAAAAAGCTGGTAAAATTTTTCAATGTATTCATTTTTTCAGGGAGGTCAGATTCCTGAAAATAATCCCGAAACTTACTGAGACGCTCAAACTCCACGAAAATCCCAAAAGGGGAGCCGGCAAGGATCCAGGTCAGTCAATCAATCACTCGATTCAACAACGACCGACGAGTGTTCAGATGTGCCAAAAAAGCACGATCGATGACGCTTGGTGTTCACTAAATGCCGGTTAGACAGCATGGATCAATGGCAAAAGTGACCTTTAAATACCGCAGAGCCTTTTTTAACTTTTGCACTCGCTTGTTCGCAATGAAACTGTTGTGTTTCTTGTTGACGGGTCTTTTCCCAAAATTAAGGCACTGGAGCGAGGATAGCAGTTAAATACAACTCCTTCTGAAAGCCAGTAACTAAGTACATCGGTCGTGTCTGACGAACTATCCTGAAACTGTAGAATAATCTGCCTCACTTTCTTTTTACTTGACGAAACATTTCATTACATAACTGTCACCAAAATACGTACAGTCCTATATTTTGTGATGCAGCCGATCCCACATACCATATACAGCGTACTTCAACGAAGCCGGACAGAGTTGACATTAGGCTAAAAATCAAGAAACAGGGGACCAGGAATTCTAATACAGTGTGTAAGATGTCTTATATACAATCATTCGATTACATTTACCACACAACACCACGCGTGTGAATAGCGAAACGATGGTGGATCTCTGTAAGCGACGGATTCGACATGGTAGATTTCAACGCATATATCAGCATAACAAACGAGTACTCACAGTAGACTTGTTGTCCTGTACAGTTGATCATGCGGCCTAGAATTCGGTGCAGACACTTTTCCACATTTTACATCCTGGACTATTGTATTCTTAAACATATGGCTGCCAGGTTTTGTGTGGGTCCGTCATTCATACCTCGCGGGAAGTCCCTAAGACAGCAGGAAGTAGCCGGTTCTATGACTTATCACGGATATTTATAACGAGTCGATCATTTTGCGTTATCCTGTTGCAGCTATCCACGTTTGTACGGGAGTTCCTCTATTTAGAAACAGCGCTGACAAGGTGAATATGAAGCAGCTGAGACCAACGGCCACACTGACTGGTGAGTAGAACAAATATTCCTTTCTATTGAAGGAACGGAAGAGGGTTTCACAAGAACACCATCGAACTTTACCAAGTATATATACTCCCCGGATACCTTGAACTTACACCAAAGCTCCGTACTCAGGTAGTGATAACATCACAGGTTAAGACCCACGGAAACAACGAGAGACTTCTTCATTGGTAAGGCTCATTTTCTGTTTGGAAAGACCAGCGTTCCCAACTGACTACTTATAGGAGTCACACCCGCGGATTTCAGTAAATAGTCGGATTCATACCAGTTTGTACGTCGTGTATACAGGTTAAACTCTTTATTCAGCAGCGAACAAAATATATGCAGGGGATTTCTACCAGCTGGGTTCGGAACACATCGCTCGTTGAATTTAACAGTACCAGAGATCGAGTGTAGAAGAGCTGTTCTCGTTCCCGTCACTTTTTGATGTGATCATCTAAAGTGATTTCTGTTGAGTATTACCCAGTTGATCACAGTAGGCTATATTTGGTCAGGAGTTGCACTATAGTTGGTTTTCAGAGCCAGCTAACCACAGTAGCCTGCCTGCTGTTTCTAGATAGCCTGTCTACTTCCCACGTAATAGGAAGTCTGCTAACCACCAGTTCCAAGTGAATAAACTGGAAACCTATGAAGCCATGAGAACCATAGGTGTACCTGTGAAAATAGCTGCTAAAAAGTATCAGTGTCACTTAGTAATCTATTGATATAAACATATGAATAAACTGGAAACCTATGAAGCGATGAGGCCCATAGGTGTACCTAGAAGTTCGAATCCTGTGAAAATAGCTGCTAAAAAGTATCAATGTCACTTAGTAATCTATTGATATAAACATTGTTCTACACTTTCATAGTCACGTCAGTCGGAGGCGAATTTAGGAATTCGTCGACGAATGACACTGAGATAAGCATTAACGTTAAGCACAGCACCAAAGGACAAAAACTAATCAAAACACAATAACTATAGTTGATCAACTGTGGCATCATCTGGCCGTGAGTTATCGTGGCAACCGTAACGAAGCACACTGATTCATCGAACCCATGTTCGAGGAAGAAACTCACCTGTGCCAACTTGAGCAACTCTTGTTGAGCACTGACCACGTTAGCTTTTTTGCCGTCCCACGTCTGGATCACAGATGCCTGTAATGCACGCCCGAAACTGAAAGTTAATGCCCAGGGTTTACGGCCAGGGGCAGCATTGATAGCGTTCAAGTTTTGTGTTGCCTCGACTTCAGACATGCCTCCAGAGAGGAAGACAATTCCTAGAAAGTGGTGAGAAGAGTTAGCAGGGTGAAAACGGAGATTTGACTTTAGAAGTAGATGTGAGCTTCTCGAAGCCAAAAGGCAATGTGAGTTTTCGTTTTCAGATATATGAAAACTTTGCTTCATGTGCGTAGCCATTCCTACGACTGTTTTTTACTCTAGTCTGCATATCAAGGTGTCATTTGCGACAATGCTAACAGTCAGCTAGTTTTACAGTAAATTTCAGTAGTCGAGTGACTTCAGGGGAATGTGTCATTTTGTCAACTGCGTTCTCGAATCGGTTAAATCTGCAGTAATGGACTACATTTTTGCGCCGCACTTTTTGTTCAGTATACTTTTCTCCTTCCTTTGAGTGGGGTAAAAACCCCATCCAAGAACAAGTTTGTAGGATATCTTGAAGTTATGAAAGCAGTGCTGGAGTAATTGCAATGTGTAAATCCAATGAGGATTTTCCGAAGCTGTGGAAGGACTGAAAGGTTCTAGGTTAATTAACGATGCTGAGATCCCACATCCATGGGATCTCATATGATTTTGCGATGAGAAGCCGAAGGGGTACAAATGATGTTTTCAGGACCAAAAGGCTATTACGTGTTCCGTGTATCAAGCTGGAAGGAAGCGCAAATGCCTGCTGCATAAAGTGTGATTACTGAATGCTCAGAATACTGTGCTACTATCCCACGAAACAAAAACAGTCATCAACGTTGCACACACTAAGTCGTCAGATTTAAGTTCGTCTCTTGCCATCCATCACAAAGAAACCGAAACTTGTTGTGGCGTCGCGGTTTGTGTATCCCTGGACACACAGATAGCTTCTAATACCGGGTTGGTAGATGAACGAAGGTCTAACGAACACAGTCTCCTGGTCCTGTATTTTGGGGACTGGGACACGTACGACTAGCTGGCAGGTTGCGGAACCCAGCTGCTTCCCTGTGGTCCAGATATGGACAACCTGACAGTACTCTAACTTGTACACAACGTCAAACTTCATAGCCAGAAATACCCTCGTGCCACATTGACCATCCTATGGTGCCATCAGCTGGCCCACCTTTGTTGTTGCATACAAGATAAGTGAAAACAGGCTGCTTCTCACGCTTACACTTGCACGTATTCCTTCTTATTTCCCACTTTATCCCACTGTGAGTGTTGTTTCTGCGGGTCCCACCACCAAGACTGAGATATTTGTTAGCTTTACACCACCCCCCGCGGCAATTTCTGCACATCCTTTTCGGTACAAGTTCTAAACACTTGAAAATCAATTTTACAGTCCTGAATTCCTCTCTACCTACCCGCGTTTCATGTTCACACTCTAAAACATTCAAGAAAATGAAGTGTTTCGGTCGCACGCTGGGCGTATGCTGTCTGTCGGAAACAAGAAATCAAGACGCAATTATTGTAAATGAATTGACTACCATGTCGCTCTTCCACCGATCTATCGCACGCACGGTACGCAGAATGTCCACCCAGCTATGTACAGACCATAAACCGTTCCTTTGCAAAATCAATTACTCGAACAGCGGAAATGGCCTGATTATGTGGTACCCTGCCTTCGTCCTGAATAGACATTATTACCATTAGTTTCCGGTAATGGAGATTCACTACTACCTTCTACTACTTCTAAAATACCTCTGTGAACTCCGATCACAAGCTTATCCGTTTCCGTCTTTCACTGAGCTTTCTGGGTCTGTGCACAGGTTACTCAGCAACTGAGAAGCTCATGAACCGAAAAATCAAACAAACTTATCAGAATCGGTTTTCCCTGCACCTGCCAATCCAATATCGGATGACAACGATCACTGGAGAAAGCCGCACATGATGTCCGATTACCATCATACGGTACAACCCAGCCAAACCCATTCAAACACTAGGTCTTTCATATGAGTCTGGTATTGCAGTGGCTCCAGTGACAGATTCCATGTGGCCGAAACCAGAGAACCTCGACGAACTAACCGATGCCAAGTAAAAATGGGTGCCCGCGCAGCTAGGAAGTTTGGTCATTCTGAGAGGTCAGAGGAATGTCAGAAGGAAAAATTCTGACATTGTCCACGCAGCTGGCTCGACAGATGTTCGGAGGTCTCTTGTTAGTGCAACCACTAGGAACTAACTTGTCGCTCTGGTGTCCAGCAAAAATAGTGTTGTGGCTGTTTGACCCGCAGCCACTTCCCATCCAGCCTGTCGTCATTTGACAGAGACGTGAAATGGAAGTATAGTGCTCCTTCATCTCTGATCAAAAAGAGCCGTGAATTCCTCAGCTGCTTTTTGTCAAAATCCTGACTTCTATTACCGACGAAGAGACCGTTCCAGAAACTGGGATCAGTCGATAATAATGGTCATCTTCAAAGGTACTCACAGTGGATTTAGCGGCCACAGAGACTTCAGTTTGACTGCTGTTGCAACAATGTTTCTGACGTCGTCTTTTGGTTACACGCAGAACCATAACCAATGGGCATCAACATGGACTACGGCCAGGTATATGCTACATCAACCACGTCTTCACATTCCTACAGGTGTTGGATCAACGCCATATGTGTCGAGAAACTACAATCTTGATGCCCCTGAAAGGGTGCGTTCAACTCTGCCGGTCGGTCAGTGCTGTAAACAACACTTGCCCAACAAGGGATACGTTAAAGCTTTTGAACATAATCCAGTACTTCGATTTATATAATTCAAGGTGTGTGAGTGTGTGATGAGTTCTACAGAAGCATCCTAACAGAAAGTGGCGTACGGCGAGACTGTCCACTCTCTTTGTTCTTGGTGACCGTCATCGATCAACTTGTGAAGCAAAATACGTAGAGTTTTTAAAAACTGCGTGTTTAAAGCAATACTGACTATGTAGTTCTAAATGTTGAAGTCGAAAAAAAGCACAAGTCACATTGAATAAACGGACTACCATCATCTTTCTAAATGCGTCTTACATTAGCGAAGTCAAAATGCAGAATGTGCAGTCTCTTAACATATAACTTATACTTTGAGGAGAACCAATGGAGACTGTGGATAATTTTACGTAAAACGGTTGTTGTATTAGCTCTGACGGAAGTGTCTCTGACGATGTCAGTGTACCAATGTCGAAGGGCCGAATCACGTTTACTAATTTGTATCAATTGTGGCATCAAACAGTTATATCACTGGGTCTTAAGGGTCACGTTTACCAGGCTACATTGAGGGTTGTAGTGCTGTGTGGTTGTGGCATATGGCTTCTGCGGACTGATGATGTAAGTTTTTTTGGGGATTTGACCGCCGATGTCTCATAGAATTACTGGTGCTTGAATCCATCAATGAATTTGCAAACAGGTAATTAAGGATTGAGTTTCCTGTAGTGTAATAGGTACGTTGGTCACGGATAACGTTTTGGACCATTAGATCCGCTATTACACATACCGTACCCTTTCAAATCAGTGATTTCTCCAGCTGCACCTCCGGTGGACTGTGCAGAGCGAAATGGAAAATGCTTGTAGGGGAGTGGATTTCGAACTACTGAGACAATATCAGTAGTGTAAGAAAAATGAGTACTAACCACACATACGGACAAGTGCATTCATTTGCAAATCAATTTGGTTTTCACGCAAGACTCGAATGAATCTCTCGTCTAGGATTTTCCTAAACTGAATGTGCTGCATAAAGGTTCGCCTATGTCTCGGGCCAAACTCAGCCCATTACCCGAATGAATCTCTCGTCTAGGATTTTCCTAAACTGAATGTGCTGCATAAAGGTTCGCCTATGTCTCGGGCCAAACTCAGCCCATTACCCAGCTGTCACGTTCGATCACATTCCATGTGATCAGAATAGTAAGTACTTGACTGGTCGCAAATATCGAGTATCAATAGAAGAGACTGTGGATATGGGCCTTATGGCTGTGCAACCCAAGTTACCGTTCAGATGAACAAATCTGGGAGACCTTTGCGCTGTGTAAAATTTACCGAATGATATCTTACTGCCTGAAGAATCCTTCCCACCATACGTTAGCCATCCATCATTCCTCTGTACCCCACCTGTGGGGTCCATTAAAATTAACTCATCAGGCATATATCTCCAGCTTCCTTATGTCGATCATATGCAGCCGAGCGATCATCGGAAATTAGTCGTGCACCATATAGTGTAGGAGAAATTACAGTAGTGATGTGGACCTATTTTTGGTCGCGAGACCGAAACTATTTTGTGGGAAGACAACACTGAACCGGAAAGACGGGAATTCAAAGTGAAGTTTGTGGGGTCAACATATCCAACCACTCTTGAGTATTTGAGATCTGCAGATATAATACTAAGTTGCTGCTTTAACTAGCCATAAAAAGTTTGTGACGCACTCCTAGTAACTTCTCTCCTTGTATATAATTGACATTTTTTGTAGCGTACGCCCGGAAAAAAATATGACAGCAGCTTGCCCCTTTGTGCTTTTTTCAAATACCGGTAAGTAGACATCGTTTTAAACAGAGCAAGGGAGTGAACTTGGGTCAAGAGAAACCGTTCGTCGAAATTTCAGTTACAGTATGTTATTCTGATAACTTACCTGGAACCGCGGGTGGTACAGTGCGCTGGAGAGCTTGTACCGTCGCGACAGCGTTTTGTTCCACGCTGTATTTGTGGCTGTGTGACTGCCCAGCAGTTACCATATTTGGTTTCAGCAGTGTACCTTCCAGGTATACGTGGTGATCCTGCAGTGCCTTATATGTGAACGATAGGACTTCCTCAGTGACACGTTGGGCAGTGAACAGGTCATGGTTCCCATCCTGGAGAACTTCTGGTTCAACAATAGGAACAATCCCATTCTGCAAAATCGGCATCGAATGCACGTGATGTTTGATACTTTATTCTGAGGATGCAATTGTAATCATACGACCTCCTTAAAAAGTTACGCCTATTCCTATGGCAAGAAAAGTCTATGAGATGAATATAAACAGCCGTACACCAAACGTAAAAACATAGGATGGGATGCATAAGCGTCATTTGGATCAAAATAGCTGATATGTTCATAAAGTAGTATGCGCTTCGATGCGTCGATTCTCCAAAGATGTGCTAACCACAAGGATTTTGAGCAAAACACATGCCAGGGATGTACCGAAAAAAATGAACAGTGAAGCATTCAACTGTTACAAAAGTTAGCTGCATGATTTACCTGCTGACAGATAACTGCATATCTGGCAAGGACATTGGCATTCTCTTTCATTGCCAGATAACTTGGTGTCCGGTCTGAAATCTTCAGGACACAACGCCACTTGGCAAAATGACATCCATCTTTTTTGTATTGTGCACATCGATCGCTCAGCCCGTCTAGACCTTGCGTGGTGCATTCCTCCGGAGTGCCTGGTAAGCTCACGACTCCCTTGTCCACTTTAATCCCTGGGATTATTCCGCGATCCTTGTAAATGCATGGATATGTTGGAAGTGAATGATTGAAAATTAACAATGGTTTACAAATGAACATGAACACATACATTGGTGGGAAGGTATTTGCCAAAAGTTGTGAGGTTGAAGAAACACTGCATTTACATTGCCCTTAGTGTTGCAGCATTCCCTTCAAACCTACCCGTGTTTGTTGATAGATAATGAGTAAAAACCTTACGTTTGAAAGGCGGATAAGTTGGCTCCCAGAAATAAAGCTACAAAAATAGTGATTTATACCTCAGAAAGGTTATGATCTGGAAAAAGTACGAGTTTTTATGGAACCAGTGCGCCCCAAATTACCATAAACGCAAGAAGAACAGAGTTTCTTGCGGTTAGTTAACATGCCGCACACGTAATTCTGTTCGCTTCGTGTTAACAGCAGAAAGTACTCCAGGTGCAAAAATTCCTATAAGTACCGGGCAGTTTCTGCTGGACAGAATGATTGACAAAATGATATTAGGAGAAAGGTCATAGCCCACGATACTCCATACTTAGTTACTCCACAGTGGCTAAGCCTCATTCACAGTACAAACAGCAACACCCTGTTGTCGGATACTGTTGCTGAACTGTCGTTAGGAGTACAGAACAAAGGGAAAGAAAGAAAAGGGGTTATCCAAAAAGCCATATGGCGTTAGGGCAAACAGTCAGGAGTCAGATGCTGGTCTGTGCTTAAAATGTGGGCATCGTTCCGGGGTGAGAGGTCATCAGATGTATCAAATTTGTACCTCTTAAGACCTCAGTCAACACAAGCCAAGTACACAATGACAGATAAAGGGTTGCTAGTCCGTCCAGCTGGAAGGTGACAAAATCACCTACCCATATATCGCCGATGAGAAACGTGTATATGCACAGTCGCGAGATATCTTCTTGATGTTTCCACAGCTAAGGTCCCCATAATGAACAGCGATGGTGTTCCGTGAGTCAAGTGATTTTACCAGAAAGGAATCACCTATTCCTAAAATAACGTGTTAGCAGTATGAGGGTATTTGGGGATTGTTGTTGAGGATTTCGATTTGCATGTGGAGTAAGTCTATGCAGACTTGCTCAGAAAGACGCTGCTGACCATCCACTGGTAACCAAGCGGTTAAGTTTCCAAACTACTAGCCGGAAGGTTGCAAGTTGGAAACCCTAGAACATTTTGTGAGTTATGCGCTGCTGACGATTACATATTAGAACGAAATAACTATTCAGCGCTTCTTGGCTTTTCACTATAGATTGGCTTCGCTTATAGGACAAAACCTCAATTGAAAATTCTCAACCCCCCTCAGACCACCAACATTCTCAGACTATCGTTTAGCCATCACTTCCAGCTGCTCTTAACTATGATTCAAGCCATCGCGCCTTCCTCGGATTTCTTCAGTTGATAAATACCTCTGTTTATAACTTGTTGAGTAAAGATTGGATGTAGCTGAGTTACGGGACCGAAGCCGAACTCTTGATACCTCGAACCTGAATTAAAACCTGTGGGTATGTGGTTAATTGTTGTGACAGACCTTACCTCATGCTATCATAACGGTCACACTATCCCGTTGACGTTAGAAATGGTAAAGACAAAAGCAAAGTATGGTTGAATGTAGGCAGAGACCGAACTCTTCCATTATACAATGGTGCATAATCTTAACAGTAATTTCGCGTAACAGTTGTGACCAACCGAAACAAAATTCACTTCCCATCTCACATAAAAACTAAAAATTTTGGCAACAATAAAGTAGGTACCACTGTTTTTTCAGTGAAGAATTGCTGGCACAATAAAATTCAGATGTGAGAAATGACCTTTTGACCTTAAAACTGCATAAAAAGGCTTTGAAAAGACTTATAATGATTCAGACGATTGTAGATCCTAATACAAATGATTCCATAGTAAGTTAACAAATCCACAGAGCAATGTCTCTTTTGGTTTACAAAGAGTAAGTTCGTCCGATAGACTATCCAGATGACTCTGTTCGAGAGGTCAAAAATATCACTGAACACCGAGATGGAATAAGTAAATTTAGGAAAATGAGGATGAAGGTGACACGGACTGTGATGTGTGGTATTTGCGTGAAAACTACAATCCAGCGGCACATACAATTTTGTGATGTTGTGCCACCACTGTGTCAAACGCTCAACAGCTGAGCGTTCACGGCTGTGTGAATACGGAATGAGTGAATGCGTGGAAACTTTGACATGGCAGAGGAAATCTAAACAGTGGAACTTCGGTGAATGACATCTAAAAGAAAAGGCATTTCTCACAGAGGCAGCATCCACCTTCCCATCAAATAGAATTGGGTCGCTCCATAATGAGCTATTAGTGCCAGCCGGTAGCATGCTTACAGCAGCTAATCTCCACTTAGGTAGAATCATCACTGCTATGTTAACTATGCTTGATGGACGCGTGCGTTCAGTGACTGATCCATCCGAAATACCTTGGGTCAGTTTTACCGGCTAACAGACATCATTGGAGGAAACATAGGCAATGTTCCAGTTCTTTCACTGGATCCACTCAAAAGAGCTTGTTCGATCTCAAGGATGAGGTCGAGTGGCATCTTTAGTTTGTCTTTAATGATTTTACTGCTTTGACTTAAGGTATTTTAGTTTTATTAGTTTCGTACGATTACCACATGTCTGTCAAGCTGGACGGCTTACATTCGGAAACTAAACAGTTTAAAGTTGCGCTACTTAATACATTTGTTAGTAGTTAAAACTATTCCCATAAAACTGCTTCGGCAGATGATCTGGTCCTGCAGCACATGTACATCCGCATCACTGAAGAGGGTGTCAGTTCAAACTTTTGAGCAGAATTGCTTAAATGTGGGAGCGTCACTCCGATTGCTTTCTTTGAGGCAAGCAGACCACGAAAGTTCAAAGGGATACTGCAGCCAGAAGCTCGGTGCACCTTCAGGCTTACGTGATGACACTGCGAGGCAACTAACTCAAAGAAAGTGACTCGCGTACAGAAGACGATGTTGATCTTAGTGAACTTAAAATGTAACGTGGGCTTATGGCTTTGCGGAATGTTGCTTGAGTGTCAAAAATTGACTGCAGCATACAGCAAACGTCTATATAAAAGTTTAACTGAGTTTCGGGGACGGTGCTTACGTAGTGAGCCACAGTAAGAGTGAAAACGGTGACGGTTCGTGGGCCAGTCTTCATCAGTCACATAAATAGGGTCTTTTATAAGAGAAAAAGAAAAGCGGTTTCACAAATTTCAAACTCGATTGAAGCGATCCCCTCTTCGAAGACAACTCGACTAAAATAGCATCAAGTGTTTGTGCCGAGAGCATCTTTCCCAATAACTTGATAAAACATCATTATCATTGAGAGCAACCCCAGATAACAACAATTGCGCTTCACTATCATACAGTCATGTCAATTTACTTGCATGAAGAAAAAATAGACCAGGTAGGAGTAAGGCTAGTCTATCACAAACAACCTAGGTACCTACATCTCCAACACTCAGTTTATCCGGATAGAATCTCAGAGTATGGACACAACTGACAATTATTAGCTGTCACGTAGTTCATTTTCTCAAGTCAACCAGAGACGTCACGTGGAATGCATCCTGGAGGTCCAACACCACCAACACCTCCCAAGCTTTTCATAACACCTCTCATCATCCTCTGTCATATAAACTTCTGTCCACTTCTAATGTCCCATTACTCCGAATTAAGAACGGAAAGCAATGCTTTTCTCGGTAACTCACCATGCGTAATACATGGCCCAGCCACCTTATACTGGAGTGCTGGATGCAGTCTTTGAGTAAAGTACCCCAAAAGACTTGTTTCCTGACCACTTCATTTCGAATTCACCGCTTCCAACATACTCCAGCCATGGTTCACAACCACGTAACAGTTCAGCCCGCAACATAATCTGGTGCACGCATCCCTTGATGTCACACGTGACATAACATGGAAAGCACAATTCTGGCCTCCAAGAATCGTCCATTGACTTCATCTGTCACAATACCGTCAGAGCTGATAAAACTTCCGGGATATGTATGGCGTTCAGCAACTTACAGTGCCTCGTTGAATGACGGAATTGAACACCATTGCTCGTAAAAAAAACTTTTGGAGAGCTTCCCATATATTCTCACGCGCATACAAACACGGAACTACTAACGGCGCACGATATTCACGGAATTCTGGGGTATACAATGTTGCTGAAAAATGAATCGGTCGGTGGAGTCAAACTTACTCTGGAATTCAAAGATCATCAAGATTTTAGGGCAACTATATGCGCGTCGTTACTCTAACACTCGACGGATTGTCCATTCAGCCTTTTCCTGGCGGGAATCCTGTATTGTGCTCTGGAGTTCCACCTTCACGGACCGACGACTTATGGTAAGTGGTGCAAAGACTCTGATTACAACAATCTGATTTCTCTGTGATTGCTTCTTTACTGCGAGTACTTTTTCTGAAAATAGGCACCAATATTGGCTCGCTCCAGTTGGTTTGGATAGACTCTTTCACCCAAGCAAAAAATCGATAAGCACCGAGTGAAAAGCTCACCACCATCTTTGAACATTGTGGAGGGGAAATTATTGGGACCAGCAGATCATTGACGCTTGAGGGTCAAAAGAAACTCAGAAGGCACTCCGAAACAGTTATAGAACCCAAAATCATTGTCCAGGACCACGATGCAGGTCGGAAATTCCGCCGAGCAACTTCAGCATGTATCCAGTTGAGTTGTTCTGGAAAGCGTTTGACCTAAAAATTCAGCCGCTCTTCTATTTTCGAGATAATCGAGTCGTTGTTATCGGTGAATGCTTCGTTTACCGGCGACCTCTTTCAGTCTGATACGCATATCAGCTGGAATGGCTTACACATATTCGAAGCTTTTCTCGCCTCTTTCATCTTCCCAGATTTCCGGACCTACCAAGCTTCACGATTTGTGCAGATTCTCCTTTCACCTGAAGTCTGGTAGTTTATCTAGTGATATTGTACTCTCGAACAGGAGGAATACGTGTCCGAGCTTCAAGCAACTGTAGTGGTGCTC